ATATCATATGTCTTTCTGCAAAGTACCAAATCTGGGTCAGGCAAATCAGTGGTTGACAGCATGAACACCATACCATGTGCCTGCCCTGTTCATCAAAGCAATCATAGTGCCACAGTTGTGTGCCACAATTGATGCATGTCATTGTATCCCAACAGGAAGCTGTCAGCCTCTTCAACTGGATGCAAAGAGTGAGAATTATCACTGGTGCTATCATGTCTTTAGCCGTTTATAATCTACAAAACCAATTTCAGAATAAATATCCGCAAATATATTTTAGGATTTCCTTCACAAAAGTAATACTTGTCATATCACTTTTATTACGCGCTGCATTTGTTTGTTTGTTGTTTAACACTGCTGCTATACTCAGCAATAGTCCAGCTATATGACGGCGGCCTGTAAATAATGGAGTCTGGACCACACAATCCAGTGATTGATATCATGAACATCGATCCACGCAATTGGTTCACAATGATTTCATCAATTAAGTCAGCGAGTCTGACCACCCAATCCTGTAAGTCGCCTCTTACGATAAGCATAGTGTCTTTTACGGCAATCATACGTTACTGAAGACCTATTCTACCCTGGATTTTCACGGGTACATTGTATCCACAGCTTTGGCATGTTCATATCAACATGATCAAGATCTGATGATGTACATGTGTTATCATTATGATCATGATCATGATGTATTGTTGTTACATGTCTAATATTCATTAATTCAGCATTGGGCATGATATGATAGTTTTTCAGATGTTCTATTTTTGCTATTCCTTTCTGGGTTTTCTTACCGGAAAATATTCTCTTCCTACAAATAGCATATACATCCATGCATTCAACATACTCACTTAAAAAGTTGGTTTGAAATTTCTTCCTTCCAGAAATATTTCAAAATACTGTGAACATGAGGAGGAAAACAGTCACTGAAATATAAGATATTTCAGTGCAAACACACAATTTTGTATTTTTCCTTGTCAAAACACCATTGTTTCCTATTCAAAATAATATGCAAAAGCAAATAAAACAAAACACATACAGGAGAGCCACAGTGACTTGAGTTTAGAATTCCCTAACATTTCCTTGTTTACTCGTTGACAGATCTCCATTTTCACTGATAAGCCTTCATACAAAATAATAATAATGTTGAATAATAATAAGTACACTTTTTTATGCGTGATAACTGGAAAATACCAGGGATTTATCTAGATCTGCTCAGAGGCTGATATTCAGCCCCAAGTTTGGAGCAAATGTCATAAAAAATTACCAAATTGGAAGTAAACATTACCCAATTCTTGCTGTTATTGCAATACTATTAAAACAATGATAAAATACCCCTGAAATTAGGAGAATAAAAACTTAAACAAAAATCCCAATTTTGAACAAAATAACGATTGCTCCAATTTGCCTGCCAAGGTCACAAGTTTGGAATCCTACATAATTCACTGAATACCCAAAACATTTATAACCGATTATATCTGGTTGAGCATGATATAAAGAGTTGATCAATCATAAGTAACAATTAAGCAACTGTCAATCATTTCTTCCTCATTAATAATAATAGCAGTTGGAACCATCTCTCACAACACCTCTGTCACCCGTGAGTGAGTGAGTGAGTTGGGTTTTACGCCGCTTTTAACAATATTCCAGTTATATCGCGGCGTGTCAGCTTAATGTGGGAGGAAAGCCCGAAGTGATGCAGGTCTCAGACGTTTACCACTTCGGTGAAACCCACAAGCACGGGTATGGTGCTGACAAACCTAGAAACATAATCGGGGCGAACCGGGATTCGAACTCACAATCATAGGTTTCTGGTGTGTCCAAGGGACGCAACTCTGCACAGCGAATCGCGGCACCTTAGACGACTGGGCCACCCGTGCCCCCCTGTCACCCGTGAAGATCCGGGGTAGAATAGGTCTTCAGCAACCCATGCTTGCCGTAAAAGGCGACTATGCTTGTCGTAAAAGGCGACTAACGGGATCGGATGGTCAGGTTCGCTAACTTGGTTGATGCATGTCATCGATCCCAATTGCTAGGATCGATGCTCATGTTGTCAATCACTGGATTGTCTGGTCCAGACTCAATTATTTACAGACTGATGTCATATAGCGGGAATATTGCTGAGTGCGGCGTTAAACAACAAACCAACCACATGGATACAATGGGTGAAGCCGTTTCTTATTTCCCCCACCTGGCATGTTGTTGAAGTGGCATAAAATCCACCTCACTCATGCTAATGACAGAGTGAGCATGCTGTGTGAATGCGGCTTAATCTGTAGATCTGAAGTCTGTAGTATTCTTACAACAACAGGCATCAGGGAAATGAGGACATGACACCAGCAAGGCCACAAGTGCCACCTACCCTTAAACTACCCATGAACAACCCCACCGACATCTTCGGGAACACTCGGGGCAGGAGACAGCCTTGAGATAACCAACAACAACTAAGTCAACACATACTTACATCTGTATAAAAAACTATCCATGCTGTATAGAAACTGCAGCGTCAGCTTTCATGGTTGGTATATTTAGCCAACACAGCAACATTGATGATGACTCATTCAAGAAATATCGAATTCAGGAGTTGTTATTTTTTTCCACATGCAGCAAATGACCATGATTAATGGTTCAATTCCAAACTGACTCATATCAGCAGATGTATGAACAAAGAACTTACATCAGTTGTGATACAGAAATATCTCATTCAAAATTTATACTAATGGAATCTGTTCATCAAAAATGCTATTGGAAGGACAACAGACGTTGATTGATTGTTCCACAGTCGTATTGTGCATGTCCCCATGCCCTAGCTTTTATGATGAATACTCCCACGTCATAGCAAAGTAATGAAAACCCTCAAATGTTGACATTTGTCTGAGTCAGAAAGCGTTCCAGTGAACATTTTCAAGAAACTGTGCAGAATTACACATTGTATAATTGTACATTGTACATGTCAGCGATGGAAACTAACATTTTTAGTCCACTAGTCATTATAATGAAAACATGGGAAAACCAACGATGGAAACTAACATTTTGTTCCACGAGCCATTATAATGAAAGCATATAGCAAAACCCTTAAAACATGGCAAATTTCTACCTTAAAATACCTTAATTATTGAGCAGTTTAGCTAGGACTATGGGAGTAGTGCCAATTTGTATTGCTCCTACACATGTTAAGCATCATCCAATAGCTCGCCATCAGGTAAAACCTAGTCCGTTTAAAAATCCCGAAACCTTATTATTTTTCCTTCTGCCCAGCCCTTACTCACAGTAAAGCTATAGCCCTAAATAAAGCAAGTCTAGATTTTCCACAGACTCTGAGTCTCCCATCATCTCACTGAGGCTCCTTTTCAATTTAAATGGAGTTGTTTTATATCAAAATTACATATTTTCAGAGACTAGTTTAGGCAAAAGCCTGTGATAGATATTAAACAGATGACATTACCAAGGAAACAACTTGTGAAAATGTTAAAATACACCATGATACAGCATTACGACTGCTGGTGATCCTCAGACCTAGATTCTGGGTCACCACATTCGATACATTACAAACACCAGATGGAACCGATGATGATCATACAGAATGAGTAATACTATTACTCATGCCGGAGACACATAAAACTTATCATGCTAATAATACTTCGAACATTAAATTTGTTCTAATTTTTAAACCATTTAAAACATATTTATGATATTTCAGGGATGGAAATTATCCAAGAACGTCTCCTTGTAGTTTAACATATACATGATACATGTGTAGCAATAACCCCAAAATGTTTAGACCCGAGAAAATCCGACCCATGCTTGACGCAAATGGTACAATGCTTGTCGTAAGAGGCGACTAACAGGACCGGGTGGTCAGGCTCGCTGACTTGGTTGATGCATGTCATCATAACCCAATTGAGTGGATCGATGCTCATGATGTCAATCACTGGATTGCCTGGTCTAGACTATTATTTACAGACCACTGTCATATAGCTGGAATATTGCTGAGTGCGGCGTTAAACAACAAACAAACAAATCTACTGATTTTTACAAACTTCGTACAAGTATTCAGGTGACAATGATGAACATATTGGTGCCACATTAAAACTCAGCACTTCCTTCCTCAAAGTAGAATACAGTTCAGTTTCCGCCTACCAGTTTACTGGACTGGCAGCACTTACACATACCGGTACTTTCCATTATAATTTTGGACTAATAGGGTTCAATTTTACCAGTAATGGAAACACTGGAATATCCCATAAACCTGTGTCTGATCATTACTGACAGCATGCATGTTGAGACATTATTGTCACCATAATGAAGTCACAATGACCGATATCATTGTGATGTCACTGTGACTTGTGATACCATTGTGATATCACCATGACTGTGGTACCATTGTGAAGTCACTGATCGATACCATTGTGATATCACCATGACTGGTACCACTGTAAAGTCACTGATCGATACCACTGTGATATCACCATGACTGTGGTACCATTGTGAAGTCACTGACCAATACCATTGTGATATCACCATGACTGTTGCAAATAGCATTGTGATGTCATGATTTTGATAGCATTGTGATGTCATGATTTTGATAGCATTGTGATGTCATTGTGACAGAAACCACTGTCACGTCTCCATAATGGTATAATATCATAGATAATGTGATAGCATCACCATGTCACCATGACTGGAAGAGCACTGTAAACTGATGTCACAATGATTGACAGCGTTCCAATGTCACTGTGACCTACATCATTATGACTTCAGGTCATGAGGTTTAAGATGAATAAAACCAATTCTTGGGATGCTATAATGAAAGCATATCATGTATATGATGCAAATCAAGTTCTACATAACATTACCTATATTGTATATAATGTTATATTTCTTAGTGCTTAGTTACAACAATATTGTCAGTCTAATACTCTTATGGTACAAAAACATTTCTAGAATGAAAATATTACACAATACAACCACACTAGCATGATAAAGTTTCTTAGCCAAGAACTCACCTTTAAGTAAAAATCCAATATTTTCACAAGTCCATTAAATGTTTTAACACACTCATGAATCCAACAGAGACGAAGTTGTTTTCTAACAAGTGAACCGCAAAGTATGAATACAGCGACTTTGCTTCTGCATGTAACAAGCATAAATCAGACGTGTGAGACCATCACAAATTAATAACTTCCATACAAGCTGCTTCACGCTCACAGGGCGCAGTGACCTGTTTTGCTTGAGAAAAGATGTTTTCAAAATTAGGCCACATAACTGAAGTAAGCCTATTAGGATCGCACACCGGCAGTCCAACTCCTACTCGTTTCCTGAAATGTGACCCTAGGTTATTTAGAAAGGGGAGGGTCCTGTGACAAATAACTGCAACAATTCAACACTGAAACTAATGGCAGGACAACCAGTGCACTCGATAAACTAAGGTAGGTGACTGATAACAGATTTATTGTATAGTTATTCTAATGAGTGTCCAACATTGTATAAGGCAAGTATTGTTGATGTACTGTCTGATCATACTGAAATATAATATATTAATACACGGTTCTATTGTCATTGTCTGTTTAGACATTCCAAGACCTTACCTGTTTCAATTTGAGATCCAAACAAAGGATTTACACCATAAGCGTGTTAGATCATGTAGATAAAATCTTAAAATCTTTTATGTCTATGTTTGAATGATGATGGAATTACTTCCCATAAACAGTGTGACAACATTATAAATTCCATCATATAAATTCATTTATAACTTTAATCATGTTAATATGAAGGTGACGAAGGTTTCCAAACAGAAAGTAAATAAATTGAGCCTAATAAAAACAACAAACAACTTAAGAAATCAATTTAGTACATATGATACAATTACTACAGTTCTAGAGGGAACACAGATGTAAAACAAGTCTAAATTTGATATTCATTAAACATATTTCCCTATCACAAAACTTATCAAAAAGTGAATCCTGGATATCAAATGGAAAACATATCAGTAAGACTCCCTCAGTGTTAATACATTTTCTTCACAGTAAATTGTTGTAAGTGCTAATAACTAAGCAGACGAATGTGTGTCGAGCTGAACATTCTTCATATATAAACAGGATGTGTTTGTCTTGTACAAGCAGCCAATACAACCCCTATGTAGAGGCTGGTCCCTCCATGATGTCAACTATCAGTGAGTATCACCTCCTCATTAGACTGACATTTAGTCCCAGAAACTTCATGAATAGTTACCACAACCAAGAACATATAAACTATATCACTATCACTTATATATTGGTCAAGGGATGTCAGTTTCCAGTGAATAGACACTTTATTATAATTATTACCTCCAAAACGTTTTTCAAAGAGTTGATTTGGTCACTGTAGTTTCACTGTTTTGTCTTGGAGTCTTATGTTTCAATTCTTGAGTGTCAAGCTGGCCTACGCCATCAGTGCCCTAAAGTAAACAAACTGGGACCAGCTTGACCGTGCCTGCTTCACTGGAGCAGGGGAACAACTGATAAGATCATGGCTAAAGAGTATCAGATTCAGTGAGAGGGGGGATGCTGACAGGGAGAGTTTGGGCTTATGCCACTAAGTGAGAACCCAAATTCGACATTTCTACATACAAAACATATCATTAAGATCAGGATAAATCACTGTTACATTTACAACACAAACATAGTTTCCCATACCATCGTCTTCTATCTCTTGAGAAATCTTGATGAAACTTCTTAACCAGCCAATCAACCATATTATTAACAAATGATTACACAACGTAAGGCTGGGACGGGTAACTCGTGTACCCAGGTTGGGTGGGTACTGATTAGGACCCGGGTACCCACAGGACTACCCGGACCCGTGGTTAGTCACATGATATATTGTTTAATGAAAAAATTATCTAGAACTATATGGTTACACTACAAGTCACTAATGTTCGCATTTCTTTCTGACTATGCACCCATTCCTTCTGATTTTTCATATGGTTGAATAAAGATATAACTTAATTCAACTTCAGTGTATGAATGACCAGATTGTTTAATACATGTATCTAAATGCGTTTTGCCCGGGCTATGCTAAAAATGTTCCCAACTGAGACCTACAGTGGGTACCCAGGTAGGGTTGGGTAATAGGGGGGTGGGTACCCAGGTAGTAAATTTGGACTCGTCCCAGCCCTAACACATAGCCAAGCAGCCCAAATGTGACATATCTATGTACAAAACATATCATTAAGAGGCAACACCTATTTAAACTCTCCTTATCCCCTACAATTACAGACAATGAAAATAGAATCTATAATCTTTGTGACTGCGCAATAGCTATTATCCCGACAATGCCTCCCACTCTCATAATCAGCCAATAGCCCTTTGTGTCCACGGCCACCAATATGTTTGCAGCTCAAACATGGGGCTGCTAATCTGTCAGCATTCAATGCCAAGCAAGCCCTGGTGTGAGTAATTAATCATATGTGCCATCTCAGGCCTATTAATGAATGGAAATTAGCCTTCTTCGAAAACCTCAGACCAAGATGCCGTTTTGTATTCACGTACCCAGGCAAATATTACATGCTTGCCTTGAGAGGCAACTATGCTTGTCGAAAGAGGCACCTAATGGGATCGGGTGGTCAGACTCGTTGAGGGGCGGTCGGGTAGCCTAGTGGTTAAAGCGTTCGCTTGTCACGCCGAAGACCCGGGTTCGATTCCCGACATGGGTACAATGTGTGAAGCCCATTTGTGGGGTTCCCCACCGTGATATTGCTAGAATATTGCTAAAAGCGACGTTAAACCATACTCACTCACTCACTCACTCACTCAGACTCGCTGACTTCGATGATGCATGTCATCGTATCCCAAATACATAGATACTAGATTGATGCTTATGATGTCAATCACTGGACTGTCTCAATTACTGACAGATTGACTTCATATAGTTGGAATATTGCTGAGTGCGGCGTTAAACAACAAAGAACAAAAATTGAATTCTACTGACTGGGCAGTTCGGTTCATCCCTGCAACACGGGCAAAGGGTCTATGTGCTAAATGTTCAGAGGTAGACAATGGCACAATATAATATTTGTCCATAAGAACGCATTGTCCATAAGAACATATTTGTCCATGAGAACGTATTTGTCCATGAGAACGTATTTGTCCATACTCCCTCCTACTCCCAACAAGAAAGGTTTGGTGACTGTCATAATAATTGTGAGTCAGAATGAGCACATTCATATTTATCCTCTCTTCACCTGTGTTCTCTTAAGAACTGACTTCAACAGATTTTTCATTTATGGAGGCATGGAAACTGTCAATCTGCATGTATATTCATACCTCCATAAACACAAATACATATTAAAGTCAATTCTTATACATAAATAAATCAACAACAGTAACTTCACAGACTGCTGGTTAAATAATTAACACAAACAAATGTAGACATCAATACTAAATCACTGACCATGGGGTCATCGTTCAGCACAATAATCCAATCCAAGCCCTATCCGGCCTATAATCAGTGAGTGAGTATGGTTTTACGCTGCTTTTTAGCAATATTCCAGCAATATCACGGCGGGGGACACCAGAAATGCGCTTCACACATTGTACCCATGTCGGGAATCGAACCTGGGTCTTCGGCGTGACGAGCGAACGCTTTAACCACTAGGCTACCCCACCGCCCCCTATAATCAGCCAAGCCAGAAACTGTAGTATGGTAGTGGGCAAAGGTTATTTTTTAAACGCTAAAACAAGTGCTTGGTTAACCAATCAAATGCCAGGGAATCACTTGCAGTTTCTTTATTCTATAAATACTTTATATCAGTTAAATCCATATTGAATAGCTGCATATTGTCTCAGTACTCAAGGAAGTCACTAGTCAAAGGGCGGTCGGGTAGCCTAGTGGTTAAAGCTCGTCACGCCGAAGACCGTGGTTCCATTCCCGACATGGGTACAATGTGTGAAGCCCATTTCTGGTGTCCCCTGCCGTGATATTGCTGGAATATTGCTAAAAGTCGCATAAAACCAAACTCACTCACTCACTAGTCAAATTGAATATTATATATATTCAATATATCTAATATGCATACATAGTTATCATATATCAATGTACTTGCGTACACTCACTGCCTTTAACGATAAATTATATACCTTGACAGGGCATGGAATGATTCTTCTGTGACCTCATAATAACAATATCAAATTTCAAAGATCGCTTTAAAGCTGACGAAAACATTAATTTTGAATGTGTGTAATGACATTATCAATGACACACCAAAGCTCCATATTTCCAGGTCAGGCATACACTTACAATAACACCTACTGGGAATAACAAGGTCTATTATTCAACTGCTATTGTCATCAACACACACTGAGTTCATCAGCAAAGACCAACACCAGGGTATAAACATGGAATAAGCACAGTGTTACTGAAGTCATTCAGTTCATTTCCTTGTTTACAGTTAGTGAAAGTGGCAAAATAAAACAGGCTATTAATAGCATTTATCATACATTTGTTAAGGACCATCATGCTCTGAGAGGACATAAAACATCTATATTACGCCATGATCACAACAAAAATTCTAATGTTTGTACAATGTTGAAACTTACAACATTGAATAGGAGCCACTATAGGCTACATAATAATAAGTTTCTCTCTATTTCAATTGAGACCTGTAAAGACCTGGGGTAGAATAGGTCTTCAGCAACCCATGCTTGCCATAAATGGTGACTATGCTTGTCATAATAGGTGACTAATGGGATCGTGTGGTCAGGCTCGCCGACTTGGTTGATGCATGTCATCGTATCCCAATTGCGTAGATTCTCATGATGTCAATCACTGGATTGTCTGGTCCAGATTCGATTATTTACAGCCCACTGTTATACAGCTGGAATATTGCTGAGTGTGGCGTTAAACAACAAACTATTTCAATTGAAGGACCCAAGGGCTAAGGATAGAGTTTGGGGTAACCTACACCCTACCCTACACAGCTATCACCAAGGATAGAAGAGGCATGTGTAAATATGTATTTTCAGATAGTAAATATTTTTTCTGCAGATCTAAATATTATGATACTGTTTGGTTGGGAACAGATTCTATATCACACATTTGAATATTCAAACTTGTCACAAGCGTGTAGGGAATAGTTATGATAACATCAACGTATTTGACTGAGGGTAGTTGTGTATGCGCTACAAATGACTGATCATGCGTGTGTTGATATATAATATACATGCACGGAATAATTAGTGGCTATAAACA